TAATATGTGAAATTTATCTCTTACAACTTCACTCCTGAAGATGACGTGTGACACGTCGAAACATGTAGTCATTATTTTGAAATGATTTTAATTGTGTATTGATTTTAACGTTGTATATTTATTATTTTAGGGCCTATTAATGTGCGATATCCCCAAGTTTACGTTTGTATATGCCGCGCCTACCTGGATATCTATGAAAAAAAAAAATTGGTTTCAATACCTGTAGTTGAAACAGCACTGATAACTCATTGTGTAGCTTTGTGTTTTGTAACACACAAACAAACACTTGACAAGTTTAGCTCGTTTGCAAATTTTAAGCCTTTGGTACGTTTTGAAATATGATATCACCTCCTCCCCTAAAATAACCGTGACTTCTGCTGCTACTTTGTAGATCTATGACATTTTCAAAAGACCACACAGACTGGTTCAATTACTTTAGGACCAAATAGACAAGAGAAATTGTTCTTCTCAACACTGTTGCTGCAATAGTCTGCGATAATTTCACTTTTAAAATCATCACTGGTGGATATACAAGACTGTTTAGTTTAAGAGTTATTACTTAGTTTATTTACTGATTTAATATTTAATTATTAGTTAGTTTCATAACAAGAGTGTTAAAAGTTATTTGCTTTAAAAGTAATACCTATGACAAGTTTTTATGTAACTCTGTACGAGTCGTACGTTGTGTTTGCATTTTAATTGTTGTACTAGGCTTTTGTAATATTGTTGATGTCATCTTACTTGAAGCTTTTAAGTCTTTCTCATTTTGTGCATATTGTTGTCACTAGTGGGCTAGATATTTAAAATTTTTCTGTCATGTGTTATAAATACGTGTAGACACAGAGTGCAAGTAAGAAATTAAGATAGTGAAATGGGAAAGTAAGACAAATTTAATGAGAGATATAGATCTAAACTGTGTTTATAAGTTTAGCTATAAAGAGTGTATAATGGCGACTTTTAAATTGTTATAATCAGAGATTGTATTGTAATAAACAGAGTAGAGAAGAATAACTTGTCCTGTCAATTGGTTTCAAAAGTAACTGAACCTGCTTGTGAAGACTTTTGACGTAAAAGAGAATTATTTAAAGCTCTGTATACAACTGTAACCCACAGGGTAAAGTAAATAAATTTATGACTAATTATATTGTGATAACAGAGATAGAAAACAACAATTTGTCTTGTCATTTGTGTTCTAAATTAATTGAACCCGCCTGTGTGGACATTGATGAAAAAGAGACAATTATTTATAGTTCTGGATACAACTATGATAATCAATAGGGTAACGAATTTGGCTTGTTTTGAATATATTATTTTAAAACAAGTGGATTGTATGTTGTTTATTTATTGTTGAAATTTATCGCCAACAAGTCACAGACACCTAGTGTAAAGAATTTCGGCCCCATTAAACTGACAGCAACTATACACTCTGTATGGCTAAACTCATAAACACACAGTCTAGGTCTATTTGACTATATCTCTCACTAACTTTGTCTTACTTCTCTTTTGCTAACTTTCTTATTTGCACTAACTTGGTCACCTAGATATATAT